ACTAAGGGAGCGGAGCCAAAAAACTGAGAGGATCCACAAAACGGAGGGAGAGGAGCCAAAAAACTGAGGGAGAGGAGCCAAAAACCTGAGAGGAGCCACAAAACCGCTCATTCGGTTTCCCCAGGAGAATGTGTTTGGGAAGACGCTGGCTCCCTCAAGCCCGTAAGCTCAGAGGAGGAGGAAGGAGCTCAGCCCTTGGCAGGACAGGGACAGAGACGCGCCCCCAGCAAAGGTGACATGCGGGAGACAGGCGACGTCCTGCCCAACAGGCAGCTGCCTCCACCTTTCCCGTGTGCTGCAGACCCGGCTCTGATTTACAGCCCCGCTGAGCCGAGGGCGACGTTGCTTCAGCGTCCTCAGTACCTCCGAGCTTTCTCCATCTTGCTTCTGCTTTTTAGCCTTGTGTTCGCTGTTCTCTTCCTCGTCGCACGATCGTCTCCGCTTCCCTTTCCCTGTCAAACAAAGACAACGGCGTTTGAAACAAAGACCACAGCGTTTGAAACAAAGACGACGGCGTTTGCTTTCAAACACGCTATCGGCACGGTCTCAGGTGAAGAGCGTGTGGCTGAGCGCTCCCCAAACACCCCAATAAGCATCTGGTAGGAGCCAGGGTTACCCTGAGGGGCTTCTCACCTACGAGGTTCAGCCTGGGCACGACGTACATGTCCTTCTCGTTGATCACCAGCGTGGGCGCAGGGGGAGGCGGCGCATCGGGGTTCTCCGGGGTTTCGGGGACCAGCGGGCACCTCTGCACGAAGTGCGTGTCCGCCAGACGCATAAAGGTGTTGGAGACGTCGGCGTAATCCATGGTTTTCCCATCTAGGCCAGAGGACGGAGACGGCAGCGTCAAGCCCTGCCAGCCCCGGGTTGTTCCTGCGGCTCCCGAGGATGAGGTGACGCTGTGGTCCCCAGAGAACCGCTACGAACAGGCTGCTCGGAGGCCATTTTGGGGTGGGGAGCAGTATTTGATGATCTTAAAGATCTTTTCCGACCTCAATGGTTCTACGATTCTACGATTTATAACCCCTCTGGCAGCGAGGCCGCTTGGGGTGGCTCCTTCTCCAAGTTCACGGCCAGCTTTCCACTGTAACGCAGCCCGCAGAGCCTCCGCTACCACATTCACCGAGCAAAACCAGCCTCCGGCAGCCGCTGAACCTCCTCCCACTCCCAGATCCCTTTTTTAAGAAGAGGAGATTCCCACCTTCCATGGTTTCAGTCAGCCTGTCTGCCACCTTCCTCACCACCGCGCTCATAGTCATCTTGCCGTTGAGGAGCAGCTCCTCCACGATGAGCTCCCCCGTGTCGTTGTAGAGGGTCTTGGCGGTGTAGATGTAACGTGGGTAGCGGAGGATCCTCAGGACCCGCTTACACTGGGCCTCGTACTCCACGAAACCTCGCTTCTGCAGCTGGTAGGTCACCAGGTTGTGTTGGATGAGGACACAAAGGGCTTTCTTAACCTGCCGGCAGCAGAGCGGGGCTCGGTTAAGCGGCAGAGAAGCCCATGCCGTGCTCACCCCCCTTCACGGCGCTCGTGGAACATTTCCTCCATGCTTTTTTTGGTTTTCTCCCCACTGTGACCCTTCCCCAGCGCTGAGCTGCCGGTGTTTGTGTCACCGTCTTGTCCCCTGCGCGTTATCCCCGTCCCTCTGGACTCTATTCCCTGCCTTTGCTCCCTACGGAGAAGTCGGTTACGCTCTGCTCTTCCCCAACTATCCGTTAAGTGAGATAATGAAGCATCTCTTCCGCTTAAGAAAACCCACCTGATTTATTTATTTTTCTTTTTAATAAGCATCAAAGCGCTCCTTTGTCCTTTTCAAGCTTTTCCTACCAGTTTCTCCTTCAGGAGCAGCAGCGGTGGTGACTGACAGCTCGCACTGATATCAGAGCGCTCGAGGCTGCGTTATCTCACGCCTCCGAGCACACCCCAGCTAACGCCGAGGCGGGCAGATTTGAGACATACCTGATCCAGCAACAGCCCCGTGTCATTGACGATCATCCGCAGCGGCTGCATGCCCGTCCTGATAAGATAAGTCCCAATCTTCTCCACGATCTCCCCAAAATGTTCTTGCAGCAGGAGGGAACACAGCTTTATTTCCGCCTGAGTCATCTCGACGGCAGATTAAAACACCCCGGTGGTGCTGAGGAA